AATGAAAAATAGGTTGCATATGTATAGAATAAATTAACATAGTGTGTAAAAATGCGTAAATACATTAAAAAATATTAAGATAGAATTGTTTCAAGTAAAATTTTTTTTTAATTTTATGCAGGTTGTTGGTTTATGTAATCTGTACTATCAAATTGCTTTCAATCCTTAAATATTTAAAAATATTATTTCTCTAGAAAATTAAATATTAGGTGTTGGAATTAATTCGTAGCGTTTTTAATGAAAGAATGTTATTTATTTCACATGAGCATTAAAAAATACATTAATGAAAGTACTTCCCATCACTTGTAAAACGCTACGAATTAATTCCAACACCTAATATATATAGTAATACAGGGATTATTTTACAGTTTATATATGGAATGTTTGTTGGCATACGCAAACTTGATTTGTTTCCAGTAAACAGATTGAGAGCAAAATAAATAGATTATCTATTTGTTTTATTTATACAAAATACGAAAGATATTAATCGATATATTTCATCGGATAGATGGCCTAAATATTTATGCAAACTTGACCCAAAATTCCAGTTGTCGTTTCATTATTACGATAAAGAAGAAGTCGGGCAGGAAGAGAGAAAAGTCTTCAATGGTACCTTATGCGCATTGCGCACGTGAAACTCGCACGCAATGCGCATTGCTGATGTATCCCGAACAAACTATTTTCCTTTAGATTCAGGAGTTATAATTAGGTCTGGCAGGGTGAAATTAGTAACGTCTAGATATAAGGTTAACGACATAAAGAGACGTGAAGAGAACATGAAGAGACAGGAGAGAATTTTAACTTAGCGCTGGTGTGGAAAGCATGATCGTGATATGAATGAGTGATTGATTCAATGCCAATGTTACAACAACAACTTGGTGTCAAGGATTCTTACTATGTATACATGACTTCCGACTATTTGCTACAAAGAAGAATGACTAAAAGGATTAAATAATTAAAAATAATTAGAATAAACACTGTTTACTCATTCATTTTTCTTTAATCTTTCCTTTCATCTGAATTCCTTTATTCAAAATTAATTTTTATCTGTAACTTAAATACTACTTATAATAATTAATCATATCAAATTCTTGTATCCTGCATTCAAATCATTAGAATTATTGCTAGCATTTTGCACAAATGTAAAGATCAAGCAAATTATTAAAGAACTGAAGGATTTAATAAATTATGTAAGTAAAATTGAAAGTCATAATTATTTAGTACAAAATATTGTTTTTACAATAATAAAGATTAAATTAAATAATCTGATTACTTATTATTACATCAGTTTTTGTATCTCTTATACTTATTTTCAAAAAAATTATTATGTACTGTAATTTATATTAGCTATAAATTAAAATTTCAATTTTATCCAATGATAAAGCTCTATATAATATCATAGAAACCTTTAAAAGTTGTCACTCTATCCTCCTATCGTTTCTAATAACTTTTTAAATCCGCTCTCACCTGGATGAATCAAATTTGATTATAAAATCTAGCTGCTTATAAAAAATTTAATTTCAAGCCATGCTTCAAAAATATATTCCATGAACGACTATCATCATAAGTAGGTCTTCCGATATTGTTCGTGGAAAGCAAATCCTGCTCATTAATATCATAGATTCCATCGCGTTTCATGAGCGAAATGTATAACCTATCGGGGACACCATCCCGATTCGGCGTCGCGTGCCGCGTGTCGCGCGATCTCACGTTTGCTCAGTCTATCCTCCCTCATTAGGTAGTCGTAGCATGATCTGTAGCGAGGCCTCAATAATCGAAGACCATACTGAACGAAAAGAAAATCCACGCCCGGATGGAAGTGGGGGAGTGTTCGGGGGAGCGTGCTACGCGATTCTTCAACGTGCGTTGTACGATTCGACGATAGGCCTTCGTATAAATACCGTACTGCTCAACTCATTGGCATCAGTCGTCGTGCTACGATCGTCCTTATTCATTATCCACGAACAAGTGTCCAACTCAACATTTTCTTCAGGAATCTTCACGAACGGATATACTCTCTGTTAACCGCCATGAAGATCTTCATCTTATGCGGCCTACTAGCGTTGGCTGCTGCACAACCAACTAAGAATGAAAACTGGAAAAGTGCCATGGATGAGATGGTAGATCAATCTAGGTCCGAGTGTTCGCAGAAGAACGACGAGATTGCTTGCATGAAGTTCAAGGTATTTAATCTGCTCGATCAAATCTTCAGCAAGGATAACTTCAAGGTAAGTATCGGTAACTCTCTTTAATATAATATATATTATTCAAATAGTGTGTGTATGTGTGTGGATGTGATACAGTTATCAGATTTTAATTTATTATTTTTTTTCACTTTGTGAAAATAAATAATAATTGTCATCACTTTGTAAAAATAAAGTTCCGTAAATAACTTATACATAACATTAACATAATCTTTTTACTATTTCTATTTTTGCAGATATCTGAAACAGTAGAAGTTACACATAACTCGAACCCCATTGAGACAACGTCTGCTCGTAGCGAAAGTTCTTTTTTCGATACTATACAATCTTACTTGGCTTCTCACGACGTGACCTTTAAACTGCCACTAGACTCCACCGTGAAGGTGAGCTCGCGCAACATCGAAGACGATCAACTCATCTTCAACGTCAAGTTCGGCGAGGGCCGTGCTGTCGATGAGGCTCGTAGATCCAAGCTAAAGAAAGTCATTGTCCCTATACTTGTGTTCGTCTTGCTGAAGGCGATGACTCTGATCCCTCTAGCCATAGGTGTGCTTGGTTTGAAGGCCTGGAACGCTCTGCAGCTCTCTTTCTTCAGTTTCATCGTTTCTGTCGGCATGGCCATCTTCCAACTTTGCAAAAAAATTGCCGCCGATACTCACGCTGCACCTATTGCTCACGGATGGGAATATCAAACTCAATACAGATCTTTCCAAGATCAGGATCAACTCTCGACGTCGCAACTTGCGCACAATCTCGCATATTCCGCTCATGCACAATCTTAATGTCACTATCGACCTCTAGATGCTTTTGTAAAATACTTAGCTTCCTATTTTTACTGTTTATTTAATAAATTATTATTGCAAATCATTTCAATCTATGCTTATTTGAAAACCTGCTTCTCCAATGTCGCTTTTTTACCATTTAATGTTAAAATTTATTAAAGAAAAAAATGATTAGTCAGATTAATGTTTTCTTAAATTTATTATAATATTAAATCAATATACTTTTTTACTTTACAAAATTATATGTACATAATAAAACTAGAAATACTGCAATTTATATTAAAAGAAAGAAATAGATTTAAATTAGAGATTAATTATTTGTTCATTATTTATTTATTAAAACAGTTAAGCATCTTTAAAGTTTTGAAAAAGGTTCAATGCGTCTCGTTTTAAGAATGTTCATTTCTTCTAAAAAAATATATAAAGCGTAAAAATATATAAGTAATTTATTTTAAATTAATGTTTTATTTTTAATGATCTATAAGAAAAAGCTAGATAATCATTTCATCTATACATTATATCGTATTTTCATGACCGATTTAACACTATAATTATATTTCTTTTTTATATTTAATAAAATGCTTACATTTTTAATCAATCATTTAATAAAACCTTGTAAGGTTTTAATTAAGATTTAAAGAAGTTCTATATAATCGTGCACACATATATGCGAATGTGATCGATGATCACTTTCGTTTCTTACGAAAGTAGTGATTGGAGAAATCACTACTTTAAAAAAGTCATTTCACTGTTTTAACATATTACGTGACCTGCAATTTTTATGAAAAAAAGAAAATCTATATGTATGTACATTATACGTGCATCTAAAGTATATATCAATATACTTATATGTGTATTATGTTTAGCTATTCGTATGAATGTTTACATCATGTCCACATCTATGGATTGATATATTGTATTTTAAGATATTTTGAAGAATAGGAGATTGAATAAATTAAAGTAAATAAAAATAAATGAGTTAAAATTTCAGCTTGTATCTATATATTTAATTATGTTGTTACTGTATATGATGTGATAATTATATTATAACTTTTTATAACTATTCTTATTTACTATAATTTAATTAATAAATCTGAGTGCTCAAACATACTTAGCAAATGCATATATATATATCTCAATAATAAATCTCTTTTTTATTTTTAATTTAAAAATAGAAATAAATATGAAAACAAAATAATTAAAGTATGTTTCATAATTTCATGGAGAAAACAAATGTATTGCATATAAACATCAAATTAGAAAATAAAAGTAACTTTAAAAATCAATATTTAGAACAAAAATTTGTTATCAATATTTTATAAAGAATTAAAATAATGTAACGAATGTATAATATATACAATTCCTAATTTTTTATAACGAAAATTTTTATCTTTCTTATCATCATAATAAAATTTAATTATACGTTATGCTGCTTTCTCTCAACGAATACTATTGCAATTCATGATGTCATATGCATGAAGCAAGTGTACGGCATCATAAGCAGTGCATAAATCATTGTAATTATCGTAAAACAATGTGTTGCATCGTAACGCTAGAATAGTAGTATCGCATCTGTGTAGCATATATATATATATACGCTTGGCTTGCGATTTTTAAGAGAGTCCCTACAGTTACTCATTCTGTTAAATCATAATTATGTGTAGAAGGCATATGGGACGCGAAACGGCGCCTAGCATTTTACGACGAGTCAAGTAAGAAAATTCGCAAAGGTGAAGAGACGCGAGGCGTAAATTCCGTTTCCCGTATGCGTTGCATGCCATCATGTACAACGTACGCGACGCACAACAATCGATACATGTACACGCATGAGTGAATGAGCGTGAGGGAAGTTTGAGGGGGGGAATTGGAGGTACGAACGCTCTATGCCAGTGAAATTTGAATAATTTCCCTTCAATCGTAGATTCCCGACATGCGCGACCGAATAACATAGATTCAAGGGGGACAAATTAAATAAAAGGGACGGGCCACTCCTCCGTCAGTCGCAGTTCGATTGCCGATGATCGCTCACTTGCACGAGTGGACGATCAATTGCTTTTATTGACACGCGGTACCGCGAAAACAAACAACGAGTGAAATCCACGCGAGACGGCAAGGAAGAAAACACGGATAATTCAAATAATTTTTTACAAAACGTGCCAAAGAAAGAAAATGGATATCAACATGCGACTGACAGCATCAGTAGGCGCAATCATTCTGTTGATTGGATCTTGCGCGGCTAATCAGGACTTTTTGATAAATTCCTTGAACGAATGTGTAAAGATGGAATCCTGGACGTCTTGTTTGAAGCATCAAATTTTGACTCGTCTCGATAACAAATTGGGGACCATCACGGAAGCGAGATCGCTCGAAACTATTGACGAGGCGATCGTCGCTAGGACCTTGAAATATCTCAAGAGTTTCGATTACGGAATTGATTTACCTTTTGTCGATGCAAATTTGAAATACAGACCTAGTAGAAGCCTGGCTGATCTTGACATTGAATTTAAGAACAATGACGTAGATACAAGTCAAGCTCGAGGACTTTTGAAAAAGAAACTTCTGCTACCGTTCTTGCTGCTGTTTAAATTGAAGTTAAAGGCTCTAATGCCTATTTTTGTCGCTATTATTGGAATAAAAGCTCTAAAAGCTCTTGTCCTGTCAAAGCTTGCCATTCTTATTGTGATTGGATTTGTTGCTATACAATTCTTCAAGAAAGGTGGCATGATGATGCCGATGGGTATGTATATAATATACATATAAATACTTATATTGTAATGTCTCTAATATTTAACATAAAGAATATTCTGTATTTATTATGAGAATTATAGGTAATTATATATCGCTATTTTTAAAATAATTTCATTTTTCTTAATTCATAAGCAGTTATATAGAATGATAAGAATAATTTCACTTTTTTTTTGTATAAGAATATTATTTTATAATTTATTAAACGTTTCAAAATTTATTAAAACATAAAAAAGATATTGTATGAAGATTTGTATTAATTTTGGAGAACAATTACAGCAAAAGGTTTTACACTTGCGTGTAATTTTCATAGAATGCGTGAAAAGTGAAATTTTTCGATCATAGGAATGACCATGGAACCGGCATCGACGTATGGTGTTCCATCTATGCTCTCGACGACGTCGAGCTACGATCCCGCCAATACGTGGGATGGTAACGGTCCTTATTCCCGTGTTTGGACGCCAACCAATGGTGTGGAGGCCCAAAACCTTGCTTATAGTTATTACTCGCCTGGCAGCTCCAATTCATACAGCTCAGCAGGATCCTCTTCATCGTCCTCATCTTCAAGCAGCTCAACGAATTACAACTGAACTCGTCCTAAAATCTCTAATGACGCATCGATCAATCGTCCGATATTGCTCTTGTAAACGCATTCCCGATCGTACGTCAGCAAATAAGTTACGACCAAAGAAACGCCAAATAATCAAGTAGCTCGCTGACGATCGATGACATTGCGATGTCAGTTTCGTTAACGAGAGCGCCATTCAAAGACTGTCGGCTCTATGCCGGCTATAATCATAGAATCGTTTTGTCGATTCAACAAAAGTTACATTGAGCGGATTTGTTAACTTATCGAGAAATTAGTTGCGCTAATTAAATTTTGGATTAAGTTTAAAAATCCGTAATATTCTAATATGCTAATTGCCTGATATTCAGAATATATCGCAATTAGAATTAATTTAAATTTTTTTAGAAAATTATTCGAAACATCGACAAAGCCGTTCATTATTTTTCTTTAAGTGTAACATATACACACCAAAGAATAATCAACAATGAACATCAAAGTATAAAAATACGTGAATGATATTGACAATATATAAGTAAAAGATCTGTATATTGTCAATATACAGATATATTGCCAAATACATTTACGATATAAAATTATTTTTTTGGTGGACATTGACTATTTATTTTTCGTGTAATATAATTATTTATTATTTATCTTTACATTTGTTAATAAAAGCATTTCTTGTACTATAATAAATTGATATTTCATATACATTTTTTTTTCTTATTTTATTCCTATAAAATTTCTGTAATATTCTCAAATAAATATGTCAAATAAATCCTTAGGAAAAACTGATTAAATGCTTAGTAAGTGATGATATTTCATCAATTACTGGTGAAATATCATCAGTTATTGGATAGTGATCAATATACTGAAACACTTTTTCTTAAGGGAATAAATTAAATTTCTTTTAGTATGAATAAATTAAAAAAAAATTAATTATTTTAGTAGAATATATGTAATATTTGAGAAATTTAATTTCTCATCAAATCCATCAAGCCCCTGTAAGATGATTGCTACGTACTATGATGTATATAAAGTCTGTCACTAATCCTTTAAACAATATAATTACAATATTATCAAGAATGGAATTTAAATTAATACACTTAAATAATTAAAAATAATATATATAACGATATTAATGTTATTATCAACAAAAATATATATTTTATTTAAGAAAACATTTACGATTTAAGTTTTGGAAACTGTAGGTTCTTCAGTTGGTAATATCGTTACAATATCATGTTCAAGTAAAGAGAACAATTTAAGATGGCGCATTGAAACGATCCAGGATGATCCATGGATCATACAACTTACCTTCTTTATCGACCGTTATAATTTATTATGAATAGTTGTATTTCTTTGTAAAAAAATTACTCTTCATTGAGTACACATTAGTGTTATGTTATAAATATTAAATTACAAACATATAATCATAATTAACTTATTTATATTTAAATATTATGAAGACAATTCCAAATAATTGATTTTCATTCAAAATAATCTTCCATTCTGATGTTAATAGGCAGAAAATTATTTTATTCTATCAATAGATATAACAAGATTGTTAATTGTGTTCTTTCAGAATATTATAAATAATAAACTAGAATAATTGGAATATTCAAAATAGTATACATATTGATTATTTTAACGTGTATTTAATTTTTGTTACAATCTATTACCAAAATTTATTATGCATAATTTGTTACTTATAATATTAAATGCTTATGATATATTTTTATGTGTATATTCTAACAATAAAGAAATCATAAACCTGATTTTCTACTTGTCTGGATTTAAATTCTTTTGTCCCCGCCAATAATTTTCTTTTGAATTGTTTGTTCTCAACAATACGCAGTTTAAGTATCCCTCTTTTCGTTAAAGCAATATTTTCACTTTCACTTTTCTTCGTTATCAAAAAAAAACCACATTGACCGAAAGGCACACATTAACAGTTGATGCATTCCAAGGTAAGCTAAAATCAGGTAAAATTAGGGTAATACCTAACCAAAAGGATTTTCAATATCCGCTGGTCAGAAAAAACTTAAAATGTCTTAGAAACACAAGAAAAAGTCTTTCTTAGGTTTTAGGGTTTTTGGAGCAACTTGCTTTAAGTTTTTTTTAAGGATAATCCTGCAGAAAACAGATCCTTTTTCTTCTTACCGATTCTCTCTCCAAGAGAGACCGCCCAACGCGTTTCGCCATGTCATCGCTATATCATATTTGAAATAAGTAAAAGCAATCAGTGAAAGCGAAGAAGAGTCGCATCAGCTTGATTCATCGAAAGCGCGATTTCTCTTCGTCCGAGAACGCTTGAGATAAAGTGATCTGCAGGATCAACAGCAGGATGCGTCTACTTTATATATGATCCCTTTTTACTAAGCAATTTGCCTCCGCATACGCCAATATCCTGTGTCGAGTAGGGCACATATTCTTTAGAAAGCGTGTTTATCGCATCCTCAAGATCGTGCGCGATTGTGAAACCTTCCATTACGCTAACAATGTTGCTGAAAAAGTACGTGTATTATTTTAATAATCTACAGTGTTGAACGGAGAGTTTCCGGGTACCCGCATATGACGCATATGTAGCGATTACGTAGAAAGAATCGTTCACGTCGTGATCAAGTTTTACGCGTAATGATTGGTGCTATTAGATTGCAAATTTCTTTCAAATATACCTTCAATTTCTATTGCATTTCCGCGTTGTAAAACATTATAAGTTCTTTCTCATCGCGTTGGGAGATTTTACCGCCGACAAAAAATGCTAGATTTCACTAAAGACTCAAGTATTTACATAAATATGAGAGGTTACATATATTATAGTATTATCTAGTATAATTTATTGTTAGTATTTTATAATATATTTTCATAAAAATTAAATATGTCCTAAAAAAATTATTTTTTGTTAATTACGTATGCGAAAACAACTTGCCTAGATGTGTGCTATTTTTGTGCAAACATTATTTATTTAAATTAAATTAAATAATGATAAAAATAATTTTCATGAAAAAGAATAAATTTGTTGTGTGTGTGTGTGTGTGTGTATAAAAGAAATAAATATCTGTTCTATTTTTAAATAAATTTCGAATAAATAATTCATATCATTTAATCTTTTTTTTTTAGATTTCTTATATCTTCCTCTCAACATAAAATGATCAATTCAGATTCATCAATCTTGTTCCTCTTGTCAAAAACGCATGATAAATGTGTTCTTAAAAGAATAGAAACGCTTTTCGTAACCCTTCCCGGAAAATATTCCTCCTATGATCGCCCTTAATACCTTCCGAAACTCCCCGAAAGAAGCGGTTTTCAGATTCTTTCGCGCGACCACATTCTCACGGTCGACCAAAACCACGCTCCTCCTTCCTTCGTTTTGTATCCGGCTCATTTACAATCTGAATTATGCAAATAACGATGTGGAATCGAATTAATAAAATAATTTCACAAGAACAAATTCGATCAGGAACATTTATTTCGATTTCTTAGATTTTGCTTGGATTTTGCTTACATCGTTGGGACAAACAAAATATGCGATCCAGTTTCGCGGATGATTTACAATTTACATTTTATTTATGCGATCATTCTTCTCACGAAGAAGACCTCCAGCGAGAATACTTAACGATAACAGTAATACTCGCGGTAATACTTAACGATAACATTCACTTCAATGAGCGAAGCATCGTTACTCGCGCAGCAGGAAGATATAGTATAATTAAAGTCTCCCAATCTCCTTGACGTGACGTATCGTATAGAGATATATCAGGAAGGGACATACGTTACGCAGGTGGGTAAATTGATCTAGACGAGGAAAAGAGCGCACGAGGGCCCTTGAGCTATCGGTCGCACAGGATACGTTACTTCCTGCATTCGTATTCCCTATTTCTGGTATATGGACAGTCGGTCGGCAACTAAAAAAACCACCAGCGTTTGTCGAACTATCGACAAGCTGCACGAGTCTTCTCTCTTCCTCGTGTATACCCTCTGCTTTCCTTTTTATACGAGTTCTATTAAAAAAGCTCGTATGAAACTGGCGATCTTTTGTGAAGGTACATATAACGTGCAACAAGGGTGCTCGAGTGCGTGCGGAAAGGACAAGAAAAAGAGAGAGAGAGAGAGAGAGAGAGAGAGAGAGAGAGAGAGAGAAAACGAGAAGAAGAGAATGATGTATATATGCGGTGGATGCAACGTGTGGCGTAGGCGCCTGTTACACAACCGGAAGCGAGGCTACGGGGCGGAATAAGAAAGTTTGTGTGGATTAGCGCGGATGCGAGACACACTTCTGACTGTTTGTCTCTTTCTTGCCTCCTATTTCTCTTCTTCTCTATTATGTAATGTGAAATTGATACTCGACGTCTCGACACTCGGCAAACTCATTATGCAGTGGTTATGCACCTCGGCTTTACTGCTAAATTGTGCAATTTCGTATATATCGTTCAGCTCATTAAATAATGTTTTCGTATAAGTGTGTCCACACAACAAGCGTGACCAATTGAATTTTAATAAAGCATGTAAATCTCACATTTACCCGCTGCGTATTGCGAACCTTGTCGTACAATTATCATAATTATATGGCTAGTTTGAATAATACCATTACTTCGTATAATATGGTGACATTTAATAGTGCATGATGTGACATTTGATGTGTATGCCGCGGCGAATTTTTCTTAACAGGCTCCTCTTAATGTGACTCTTTCGCGAAGATGTCCTAAGCCAGGCATACCGGAACAATTACATCTACGCGACCTTCGAAATAACGTGTGAATCATAATCGATTACAGGTATTTTCTACTTCCCTTGTTAGTAGCTTTTTCCAGGTATAATTTCTATTTTTACTCTATAATGAATATATGTGTGTTTCATCTGCTTTCAAAGAATCATATAGAACCTTGATAATATTAAACCTTTAATTTCATTTTATTATTAACAAAGAAAAGTTTAAAAAGGTTTTGGTTCAAGAATGGACACGTTTTAAAAGTTTTTATGTATAATAGTAAATTGCTTACAATATTCTTTTGCATAAATATTTGATTTTATCATTAAATAATTCGGGTTTCCTTAATTATTATTACATTATTCTTGACGCAATGCTTTCCAAATCTTTTATTGAAATCGATTAAAATTTTTTTTAAGTTAATTTATCACACACATGCAACATATTATATCAGCTGTTAAAGTTTCTCAATATTTCACTTTTTACATATGTATATAAAGAGAAATGTTGGAGATACACGTTCAGATACTTCTATTATAACCGTTTCTTAAGATAATACTATTGCGTACTGCATTACGTAGTACAGGACGACATTTAATACCGAGACGACGTGACATTTCATGCATCCGCCATTGCAAATTTTTCTCAAGAGAAACACTGTCGAATGTTTTTCTATCGTATTAGGTGCAGCAAATTTG